TCTTGGTTAGTGTAGTCTTGACGACAACACTCAGGCTTCACCCAACACAACAACTGTCACATTAAGGACGCTGACATCAATACAACTACACTAAGTAACATTAACACTAATCACAGCAGCCACATTACATTCACTTCTAGATGAATAGCTTCATATCAAGCATACAATAGCATCTAGATAAAGTCCAGTCACTGCTAAATCTGAACGACCTTATGAGAACAATCACATCCAGATGTACTGTACTAATGCACTATTTAGTAGCTTAAAGTGTTAAAGTTGACTTATTGTTAGTAAGCTGCATTAAACCACTTCCAGCTGAATCCTAAATGGCTCTTATGGAGAGGAAACTGAAAAGCAGAATCACTCAGCATGGGCGGAGAAGTGTAGTTTAGTCAGTTAAAGCCTGTAATACAGACAAATTGGCACATTACGATTAATTACCATAAACACCAACAAAAGCACTGTTGATAATGGAGTGTAATGGCAGGTAGTGAATAGCAGGTATAAATTAGAGCAATAGAACAAGAAACAACCAACTGCTGATTTCCTCTTCAATGCCGTCAGCAGTGATCAAATATTGTTTTGTGTTATTATTTCAACTCCCAGTTTCTGTCTCCTTTCTGTTTACCAGCTGTCCTGCCTCGCTGACTGGAGGCACCATATGGGACGAGCGCGTCACACACATGAACGCGAGAATGTACATACAGTACAGAGAAGCATGAAGCTGCGTATTCAACAACAAACACACATTTGTATGCCCAAGTATGCTCAGCGTACACATTCACATTTGGCCCAAAACCAACATGATTACATCACAGATCATAACAAAGCAGCTCTGGTAATGTCATACGATTGTTATCAGAGCTTTATCTCATCACAGTTTATAAAGATTCTGTGGCGATAATTTCTCGTCGTGCCTCTGAAATTTAGAATGAAAACATAAAGTGGATCAGAAAGAGGAAAATGTGTCGGCCACAGCTGCCCCTGTGTGCAGTGGATTTAATCGACATAGTCTCCCTTGGATTTTTCTTTATGAGCTTGCATATAAGGGAATGTATCATATCATATACTGTATGTTGTCATATTATATCATATCGTCTGACACCATATTGCACTATATCCTATTATGTTGTGTTGTAACCTACTATACTGTATCATAATGTGTCAAGTACGTTATTGCATCATATTGTAATGTATGGCACGGTAATGCAAAACATCATCTTGTACCATATGAGAATTTGGTATAATATATTGTATTGTATATTGGTGTACTGTACAGTATCATACCAGATCATATTGTACCTGATCTTTTTGTTTCGTATTGTACAGGATCATAGTGTATTGTAATGTATGATATTGTAACATATCCCTTTGTATCATACTGTATCATAATGTACCGTATTGTTACATCTTCTACTGTAATGTACTGTACTGTATCATACCATATCGTATCATACCGTATACGTTTGTGTAGTAAGGAATTGTATCATGTACCACTTTTCACTGCAGCAAATTTTACCATCATCATATTATAGCATATCTTTTTGTACTGTATTTATTTTATACTGAAATAAGTCAGGTCAACAACAGGACAGCTACAGCAAGCCTTTGTGTGTGAGTTCAGATTCAGATATACATCCACCTAGTTTTCTGGATAGTGTTTAGTGCCATAGAATGCCAATCTGTAGGTTGTTCACAATGATAACGTCCAAAAAATGTATAATGCATTATACACATTTTCAATTAAAGAAGACGACGATACTTGTGAATCCAGGACTGAGATTTGACCGTTTTAACACCAAACAGTCTGATGACGGGTAATACAACAGCTCTAGTAAAACTCTCCTGATTTGAATCCAACATTTGAATACTGAATGACACAGAAACATACAATTGCTCAAAAATAATTTGTTGTCAATCAACCTCTGTTGCAAAAACACACACACATAATTGTATACATATTAAAAGCAAAGGAGTACCTCAGATGAAGAGGTCAATGGTCAAATGGTTCTGGTCTGGATCATTATGTTACATTGGTTATTAGTTTGGTTGTACTTCAGAGAAGAGGCCTTGCTTGGACTGACAAGATATTTAAAAATGTACTGACAATGAGTCCGCTTGCTTTCCAGTGTCAAACGATGTTTATAAAAAGACTTAATTGCAGACAGAGCGATTCTGCTGTGGACAGCGCGGCGAGGCATGCAGACTGTTCATGTCATCAGTCTGAGGCTGAGGCCACCAGCAGCTCTCTTTCTTTACTGGCAACAAGAATGCAACAGAACACCTCTTTGAAGTTATATTTGTATATTATCAACATGTCATTATGTAGTTACCCTGCTAAAACTGATTCATTTAACTAAATACTAATGCAAAGTGTAGCCAACTCTTAAAGGAATTCCATTTTGCTTTTCAAGACAAAGAAAACAGAAACTTTGCATACAAACCACCAAGTTACCATTAATGCCAGCCACAAGAAAATCTCGCCAACACACTGAAAGAAAAAAGTTATGTTTTATGCCAATAAGCATGCTAAGGAGTCCACACTTGATTTTCATGGATTAAAAGATTCCACTTCCTGATAAGAAACCACTTGTATCAGAGTTAACCCTTTAAAGGGTCCCCAGTTCAAGTCCCGGTGTGGACCACAGTATGGAAGTTGGTCTGGTTGCCGGAGAGGCGCCAGGTCACTTCCTGAGTACTGCCGATGTTCCCTTGAGTAAGGCACCGAACCCCCAACAGTTCTCGCCTGCTCCCTGTGTAGCAGTGTGTAGCAGCCCCACTCTGACATCTCTCCACTAATGCATGTCCACACAGGTCCTGTTTCTACATGTGTGTATTTCAGGCCTATTTGTGTGAAAAGCATGTTTCTTAATAACAGAGAGTAAACCAGAATTTCCCCTCTGGGATTGATAAAGTATTTATAGTACAAAATAAAACAAATAAACCCTAAAGTAAAGGTAAAATTGTTTTCATAATGAGCTTATGAGAACTACTTTGGGTTTCTAGATGGACAGTTCTGCAATTTTCCTGGACCAAAATCGACATGTACAACTAGAAACTGACTCCTTAAAAAACACTTTATTCATGTCCTATCAACATTAACATCTTCAGAATGTATAGCCTCTTAGAAGGTGACAAAATATCTATAAATGCATCATTAAAGGTTCAACTGCATCGGCAAACAAAAAAAATGTTTTCAAATCTGGCAACCCAAACTTTGTTCTTTAGTTGGCCTTGATGAAACTACTTTCAAAAGTGACCCACTGGAAACTATAAATGGTTTAAAGTAACAGTATGTGTTTTATTTGTCACATTGCCTCTCTACCAAACCACTGAAGACCTCGATATAAGACTGAAAAACAAAGGACAAAACATTTATTTTTCAGCAGGGAAAAATATGAATTGCACAAGGTCACGAATGACAAATGACTGAATATGTGCACATGCATTTTGTATATTCAATTAAAGATCCATATGTGCATGCCTGAACACATACAGATACATACAAGGTCACTTACTCATTCATGCAGTCACATTATAATGAAAGCGGTATCACAGCCATCCAGCACAAGGCTCATTTCAACAATACAGACTCCACAACAATCAGCTGCTGTCACATGTTCCTCTCAATGCCGGGTCATGTTGCTGTCCAACAAAAACTCAGCACAAGGCTTAATGAATCTATCGGCTGAAAAGTAGAGCAACAAGGTTTATTACTTTGCTTTATTCAGCTGCCAAAAAAAAATCATTAAGTAGACCTGAACATGTACACATCAGCACAACACAACAAAACAGTCCAAATAAAATATATATCCTCGAGCCTGTCTGGTTTAAAAAAAAACAACTATATTTACTCATGACAGTAGAGCCTGAAGATTTAACAAGACTAGCATCCAGAGAGACGTCTCATTAGCCCTGGGTTGGTAAAGAAGCTCACAGCTAATGGAACAAGAATGTCACTCAACTTGTAAATGTGCTGCGGACAGAAAGCCAGACGGACAGCGAGACATATGGTGCTCAACAACAGTTAATGAGCAGCACTTTCTATTTTCAATTGGAGTTGGCTGAAGTCAGACCTGATTTATTGTCTATTCTCTAAAAGTCTCTTTTATGCAAGACAACAACTAGATCACCTTTATTTCAAGATCAGCACTCACATCAAATGTTGTATTTAGCTTTGTAAAGCTGAAGCTGTAAATGCGTCTTCAAAGATAACCGACCAAAGTTGAACTCCAATGACGGATCTAAACAAATGTCTAGGTACTGACACTAAACTTCCTCATCGAATAAAACCTAAAGACAGTAAAGTTGACATGAGAGCATGGAGCTACATACAGCTATATATTCTATAAAACATCATTTTATATTCTCTTTTTCTGTATTTACTGGAATGCATCAAAACACCAAGACAACTCGTATGAATAAAGCTTATTAGAACCATTTTTTTTAACAACTGTTTTTTTTTTACTTTTTGTGTATTGTGTATGTGTTATTGTACGCGTTACTGTGTGTGTGTGTGTGTGTGTGTGTGTGTGTGTGTGTGTGTGTGTGTGTTACCTGTCACATCGCTGCCCTGTGTATCCAGGCTGACACTGGTCACACTGCATCTCCCCTTCTTCACTCAGGTGGCAGGTGGGGCTGAAACTTTTGTAGTTGCCATGAGGACGTTGTAGTTGTCGTTGTTTGTTGTTGTTGTTGTTGTTGTTGTTGTTGTTGTTGTTGTTGTTGTTGAAGTCGGTAGCGTTGTCCCAGTGTGGAGAGAGGGAGGATGAAGAGGAGGAAGAGGAGAGGAAAGAGGCGAGTTAAGGCCATTGTTTAACTCCCCTCTCTCACACACACACACACACACACACACACACACACCTGTTTATCTTACTTTCACTTTCAAAAACTCACACTCACACTGTACAAGAAACACACACTTAATTTCCTCTCTCTCGCACACCCACACTCCTGAATTTCATAAAAACTCTTCCTCACTGCGAACTGTAACCTAAATGAACTCAGAGAGAGAGAGAGAGAGAGAGAGAGAGAGAGAGAGAGAGAGAGAGAGAGAGAGAGAGAGAGTAAAGTGATAGTCTCTTTCCCTCATTCTGTCGCCCTCCCACTTCCATAAACTATAGATAGTTCTGCTGGCTCGGGTTCCAGGACACACACTGACTCACTGAACGACTGTCTGACTGAACGACGCGAGCTGCATGCCGTCTCACTCAAAGTAATGCTGAGCGTCTACAGGCCACTTCAAACGTTTGCCCCTTACAACAAAGCCATAAAGAAAACTAACGGATAATTCAGTCAAATGCAGAACCTGTCACATTTAACCGGTCTTATACATCTGTGCTGCTGAATCGGGCGATTAGCTTGGGGACCAGATGCTCTGGTTGATAAGGTCTGGTCTTCTTCCCAGTTAGATAGATCTCCAGCTACTCTGGTCAGACCCATCACAACCATTTAAACACTATCAGACGAGTTCACACGACGATTGTGCGATAGAAGCAGTGTTGTAGGGGCGCTGGTGGAGCAGTGGTTAGTGTGCGTGCCACATGTATGGAGGCTATTTCTCTAACACTCTGATTCTGTTTGCGTCTGTAATGAATCAAACCTGAAGGTATAACTTCTCTATATGTTGACTGATTCGTTTTCTTCACTTGTGACATGATTTGAAAAAGAGTATCAGCGCTATAACGTGTTTTGACGCTCTGATTGGTTTAAAGGTCTACACATCATTTTTGTCCAGAAGCACTTTATTCTATGGACTTTAATAAGACCGCCTTTAAATAGAGAATGAACCAGGAAGTGCCTTAGTCTTCCCATTCATCTGGTCTGGTAATGTAAGGCCATTGGAAGAGACTGTAATATGGATGGAGTTCTCTATTATGGCATATAGAATTTTATATCACAATGACTAAATGTTCACTGGTAAAATAACAATAACAGATTTTTTCTGCACACTGCATATCAGACAAATTATCATCAGCATGACATTCATGCTGCAGCAATTAAAAACAAATATCATCACATTCAAACACTGCTCAAACTTCTTTCATATAGCCAGAGATATTCACATGTTGGCATGAAAAAAAGATAAAGACTCATCATCAAGCCTAAAGTCAGTTTGAAAACAGGTGATTGGGATGAGATTTCTGTCTGGCTGGAGTGAAGGCGGATGAAAGTTTCAGTAAAGTAATTCAGCTAATCAGAAAAGTTTTGAGATAGCCTAAATTTAATTACTGCTCTCTTGATATATCCTGATATGTCCTGATATATCAAGTCATTTCTGGCAACAACACATCAACCTACATGATGTCAAATCTGTATGAAAGGTTTCATTTGCAGACTGAGACACAGCCAGAAAGCATTTGGAAAGTGTCTGTGCCAAGGCAGAACAACCATCCAAATGAGCCGCTCTAATAATAGAACTCATTAAATCTTTTCATCTACATGCGGTCCACATCTACAGAAATACACAAATGGGCGAAGATGTCGATTTGTCGGTGGATATTTAAATCCTGGGAGTATTGAGGCCTTGTGAGGATTAATTGTGCCAAGTTCAAGTGACTCAGGTGTCATAACCCGGCTCGTGGGTCATGGCAAAACACGGGAGGAATCAATAGTTATCAAATTATCTAGTAATTTATGACAAAATAAAGTAAATAAATGTTAAATAATAAGACTCATGAGGTGTGTTCAGTCTGTATAATCATTGGTGAACGGGTGGCTGTGAGGTGTTGAAGAGTGCACTAACATAAAGAACTAACAAAAGAGCAATAAATGTTCACACATCGACCTGGCTGTGGGAAAGAGAGAGAGAGAGAGAGAGAGAGAGAGAGAGAGAGAGAGAGAGAGAGAGAGAGGGGCAGATCCTGGACAAAGCAATGGACCCAGATGCCCCAGATCTAGCAGGATATGACAACAACACCATGGCACCTCAAAGAAAAGATAAGCGCGGGGCGCTAGTGGCGCAGTGGTTAGTGCGCGCCCCATGTATGGAGGCTTTGCTACTCCAAGCGGGCGGCCCAGGTGCGAATCCCACCTGTGGCTTCTTTCCCGCATGTCATTCCCTACTCTCTCTCTCTCCCTGATTTCTGACTCTATCCACTGTCCTATCTCTAAAGGCACAAAAAAAGCCCAAAACTAAATCTTAAAAAGAAAAAAAAGAAAGGACATGCACATGAGCACACACACACACACACACACACACTCTAAGCAGTGGCCATCACACAGACTAAAAACAACAAACACCTGTGTGTAATGCAGTTTTAGCTCCATATACATGAGACATAACGTCACATTTTAAAAGTCTGCTTATGCTTTTTTTGTGACAAAGGCAACAAGGAAACAATAGGTGTTATATTTGCAGAATAATCCATGTACGCAGACCTCATACATTTAAAAAAGATTATTATCCGTGGTAGGACAAAACTGTGAACTTTATGGTGAGGTCATCCATCTTTCTCGATGTCTTTAGATCTGTCTGGTCATTTGAGATCGAGCTGATTGACAATAAAAGAGACTAAAGAACTTTCTAAGCAGTACAATGGTTCAGCTTAGGGGTCAATAACGAGGACAATAAAGTGGTTTCTACTGATCTGCAGTAAATGACCACCTTGATGAAACTAACATAGACATCACTTTGTCAGATGTTCATAACAGCTATTACTGCTTACAGGAACAGAGTGACTGAATGACTGACCGGCTATTTGAGTGATTGGCTTCAGTGAACCTAAGCGACAGGACGGCTATTTTGAGTGTCTGAAAGAGCCGGCACCTTCAGGCTATTATTACTGCAGGGTGAGGGAGAGGAGGGGGGGGGGGGGGGAGAAAGGGGAAGGAGGGAGACAGAGAGAGTTGTTTCTTTCTTTAGCTCAGAGAGTTTTCGACATGACGTGTCATGACTGCATCAAGATTCTCAGCTGCTGCTGCCTGCGTGTGTGCGTGTGGGTGTGTGTGTGTGTGTGTGTGTGTGTGTGTGTGTGCGTGTGCGCGCACCTGCCCATCTATGCAGCATCTTTCAAAGACATTTAAGGAACCTGCAGATCTTTAAGAGTAGGGGAAATTTCCCACTTACAACAAATATAAAATGTTACATTTTAATGTCTAAAAATTCTGAACTTAGCAAATAGTTCCAGTTGAACTTTCTGTTGCTCGTAGCAAATGCTGCTGACACTATTCCTATGTAACCTACCCGACATTTTAACATCCATATTTGTAGATCTTTGACATAACACAGGTACTTTTTTCTACAGTTCTACTCAAACTGTCTTTGTTGGAGGAAGCTTGAAGGAAAAAAATGCATCTTTTTTTGTAACTTTTGATTCATGATTTGTTTTTTTTTCAAGCTTTCTTCAAAAAAAGCTGGCTGTCTAGGCTCACATTATACTCAGACAGTATTGTAGGTAACTATGAGCTTTATCTGTTATATATTAGGGCCTTTCCCGCTTAGTGATTGTATGTGTTTGATTCCTAGATCAATTTATGTGGTGTACTTTCTATGACTTAAAGCTTGAGTGGAAGACATTGAATTGAATAATTACTTTCAAACTCTTGCCAAACACAAAATGCTGATTTATCTTAATACTACTAGTTAAATCCCTTCATTTATTAAGTTATTTTATCAATTTATTTATTTGTAGTTCTTCATCTGACAGCTGTTTTAACAAACCTACACCGGTACAGATGACTTCAATGGCAACCAATAACAATTACATTCCTAGCGCTAAAGGGGAAGTAACAGTATCTGTTGACTTTGGCTGCAACAGCTGGAAGTATCACACAGAGTCCACAAAAAGTATCTGATGCTTTAGTCGTATATGCTATGTGTTCAGATGACTACTGTTGAAAATGAGAGGCAGCTGCAGTTCAAGTTAAAGCTCCTGTTAGAAACTTTCATTTTGCCAATGTTGGCGCCCCCTTGTGGACAAAGCAGTACCTTGTATCTATTTGCGGATCTTGTCACTTTCATCGCTGCGCAGTATCCTCTCAAGAAATATCCCCTTCTACTACTTTTTGTTACAGCCAAACAAATAACTCACTGCAAATGTTTACTGTGAAATGTAAACAAAGACTGTTTTGGCAGCGATCTTTGACATTCATCCCTCGGCAGCTTTTACACACAAAGATAGCTGTACAGAAATAAGAAATCTTCTTAATGAAGGTCTAGTTTGCTTTTGAAAGTCATGTAGAGACATCAGTATTTCTTTCAGTCTGTTTCATACATAAATAAATAGTCCTCACAGGAGCTTTAAGAGGAAAAGCAGCAGTAATTCAATGATACTGATGCCTGCTTCCTGTATAGACCATGTGAGAGGCCACCATAACCTTGGCTCCTTGTGTGAAAAAAACACTTTATGAAATCAACATTTTAGATAAATCAATACTGGTTGGAATCTCATGCTATGTTTTATAGTTTTTATGTCTTAAAGATCTCCTTTGAATCTGATCAATGACGAATGCGTCAAAGGGTTTCAGTGGGAGAGAAATGTTCCTTTGTTCAGACATTAGTTTGCTTCTTTTTTAAAGTACATTTTCTGCGGATACTTGCCGTAACTTGATAAACCTACAAACACTGTGAGACAGCGTGAGCAGATTTCTACATAAGAGGAAAGGTTTTGATAAAAGGGTTTTAAATGCCTTAATGACTTGTGGGAGGTTTGAGCTCGCTACTGTTAAGTTTTCTAGCCACAGTTATATTGATTCTGCCAAGTGTGATGACATTTCCACCTACAGAGATGATGTTCCCTCCACTTATATTGATGCTTTCACCTGCGGTGGTGATATTTCCATTCATGTCATTACATTTGCTTCTACCCACAGCCTCTTTATGTGGTTATACGCTTTAAAGACGACTTAAAATATTCCTAGGGGAAGGTAAGGAAGTCAAGGAGAACATCATGAAGAGACAAGTCTACTGTAGCCATTAAATCAGAAGTGACTGTTAAACATACTTGTTGCTCAGAAGACTGAGCGGGCAACTGCATCGGTGACAGTCCGTAGGTGTCCC